ATGAAGTCCTGACTCATCCCACCTCAGGTACATGAAATTACTAAATCCAGAGTAAAGTCTCCCTCTTGCATGGCCAGTGAGAACAGACGAGACATCTCCTGTGGACGTTAGAGCCCTGAGAACACACACAACCCCCTGGGCATCAGTGCTCATATTTTTGACTGTGCAGCTACGGGCCCTGGCCGACAGGAGAAGCTTGGCCCTCACTGCAGACATGGGAACACTGAGGTACAGACAGATAAACGCTAGGAAGGCACCAGGATCAGCTTCATCTTATCTGGGACAATCTTTCAGCTGTATAACGAAATAAAAACCTCTCGGGGACCTAAAACAAAATGGTTTTTAGTCTAGCAACCACACCTCCCTCTCCAGGCTCCATGTGGACTGCGGGTTTATGCTCATCCTCCTGCAAAGGCACCAGCAGGAGCCGAGCCACCCTTAACTCCACTGACTGCTTCGCGGCTGCACACTTCAGGCAAAGTGGCATTCAGCTGTGTACATCTATTAAGGCCCTAAAACCGTAAACAGAAGCGAGACAAACAACCAAGGTAATTTAATCTAGCATGATAATTCACTTTCAGTACCCCCACCTCCTCCCACTGGCCCAAATGAATCAGTGACAAGTGCCCAGCCTTTTCCTAATGGAAGGGGAATGGTATGCCTATTATCTTTACCCTTCACTCCATACGAACTGTAGAATGTCTGTACCAGATTCTGATCTTATCGATATAGCTGTGAACAGGGATGACTTCCACAGAAGGAACAACATTGCTAGTACTGTAAAGCAGGGTGGAGATCCAAATTGGGCACCTATTACTTGATGTAACTCTCTGAAGTCAGTTTTAACTTTCTAGACATTTCTTCTTGTTGCTGCTGCTGTTGGTTACATGTAGAAGGATGGCTACAAGAAAGGGGACATGATCTGATTGTTGTGAGCAATCCAGGCTATGAGGCAGGCTCTGAGGCCGGTGAAAGCCTCAGAACCATCGTGAGCTGTCCTTGAACAGTAACTAAAGAGGAATGCAGCGATGGCATAAACAAAGATAATGGAACTGGGTCCAGCTGTTAGTTACGCCCTGCTATGCGTGCCCAGCACCCTTGCCCCAATCAGAAATAAATTGTAGACGCGTGGACAACTGCTTGTAACCAATCACATACCTGTTGCTTGTGCGTGCTCAGTTCTGCTTTCTATATAATGACAAGGTAAACAGATATTAGAGGAGAACGATCATACTCACATTGAGATCGTGTCGTTACTCCGGTTCCGTATCCCACTCCAACAGTTACAGAAAGCACAAATCTCAACATGTCAACCCACACAAGAAGAAAGCCTCTCCTCTATTCCCCTCTGTCCCTGCCCTGCTTCCTTGCAGGGCATGCATATAAGATAAACACAACACAGGTCCCTTAGCTGTAGTGACCTGAGACATAAAAAGCAGGGAAGTTCCCCTCATGACCAAGATTTTTGCAGTGAGGTGTCACCTTTTATCCCTTCTATAGACTATGTTTCAGAGCAGATACTTCTTTAAAGTATCACAGAATCACAGAATGTTAGAGATTGGAAGGGACCTCGAAAGATCATCCAGTCCAATCCCCCTGCCGGAGCAGGAACACCTAGATCAGATCACACAGGAATGCATCCAGGCGGGCTTTGAATGTCTCCAGAGAAGGAGACTCCACAACCTCTCTGGGCAGCCTGTTCCAGTGCTCTGTCACCCTCACTGTAAAGAAGTTTTTTCTCACATTCAGGTGGAACCTCCTATGCTCCCGTTTGTACCCATTGCCCCTTGTCCTATCACTGGATGTCACAGAGAAGAGCCTGGCTCCATCCTCCTGACACTCACCCTTTACATATTTATAAACATTAATTAGGTCACCCTTCAGTCTCCTCTTTTCCAGGCTAAAGAGACCCAGCTCCCTCAGCCTTTCCTCATAAGGGAGATGCTCCATTCCCTTCATCATCTTTGTGGCTCTGCGCTGGACTCTCTCCAGCAGTTCCCTGTCCCTCTTGAACTGAGGGGCCCAGAACTGGACACAATATTTCAGATGCGGTCTCACCAGGACAGAGTAGAGGGGGAGGAGAACCTCTCTCGACCTACTGACCACCCCCCTTCTGATACACCCCAGGATGCCATTGGCCTTCTTGGCCACGAGGGCACAGTGCTGTACTCCCTGTCCCTGCCCTCAAAGACGAAAACTAAATCTTGAGCTTTAAGTCAGGATGTGATATAGAAGACTATTAAATCCTACACACAAGCCTGTTCTTTGCGAGTTTTCCATTCACTACTTCTTACATTCAAATTAAGTCTGTACCTACACAGTTGTGTAAGCTCGATGGGCAGTTACCCACCCATCCCCCATCTCAAGGGTAGCCAGGACCTTTGTGGAATCAGGTTGGGGAAGACCTTCCCACAAGGGATAACGCACAGTGTCCCACACCTGCCAAGAGACTGAATCCATTAATTTCTAATAACGGCAGCCTTTCACTAGATCTCTTCCATAATTCTTAATCAGGCATCTCTATGTGGTCTTACCAGTGATGGATGTTGCTGCTTAGCCCTGGCTCTCTTGGTTCACCGCCAGCAATCCGCAGGCCAGGCAAGCTGGGAAAGTCTTACATGTTATGAAGTGCCAGGAAAGGGAGGGAAATCTGAACTGGATTCTGTGCATTTTTAACACACAACTACTAGCAAATGTAGAGAACCCAAACTTCACCTCCCACCCCCTCTTGCTCTACTGAAGGCCAGATGCAGAGCATGACAGCAGTCACCCCTTATACGCTTTCCATGGCTTCACCTTTCCCACAACTCAGGTTATGCAGCTGAGCTCCCTATACAGCACCCAAGCTCTTTTGGGTCACTAACATGATGTCGTTGATGTCATCACTGCAATGATCAACCCTGAAGCACGACACAATGATTGCTTCCCTGACTCACATTCACAGCACATTTGTTCCACTAGGCTTGAAAATGAGGGGATGGGCAGGCTAGGTTTTCCTGCTCAGTAGGCTTTTGCTCCAATCTAATTAAAAACATTCAGCATCTCACTGAAGTTCCTCGCAAATGGTGCGTGTTCCATGCTTTAATATAAGCTCTGAAAGCAAACAGCCTGGTACTTTTTTTTTAAAATGCACTCCTCAGATGGAGAGGATTCCTGAGAAATGTATTTGTGATCCTATACAGAAGCCGCTGAACCAGAAAAGTCGAGCTTCTTCTGAACTATCTTGGTTTTGTTGTTATTGTTAATGGCTTTTTTCCTCATCTAAAAGCTAACAAGGAAAGCCACTCTTAGTTCTCTGACATGCGGAGAAGTGACAGAACAACTCACTGGAAACAGGCAGCTCTGGTCACCTTGGTCTGAAACTGGGTCAGGGATGCCAGCTTGTGGTTATACCCAACGAATATACAAGTCATACTGGGGATTCAGATGCTGGGACAAGACCACCCTTTTCTTGCAGGCAGAACTCGGTAATTCAGCTCTAGCACTCTGAGAGAAGAAACCCTCCCCACAATGAAGGCATGTTCTATATACCATTCTTTAAAAAAGGCCCCGCTTCTAGGAAACGTGTCAGGGGACCTATGCAAACAGCCAAGCCAAGCCCTGCACTGCTGTACCACCTCCACCCAAAGGCAGGCCACCACTGGGAGATGGTGACTGCTGGGCATTACATTGATGCTTGTGAGAGAACATGCACTGATGGAAAGTCGGTCCAGCTCCAGTGTTAACACCACTGGAGAAATTCAGTGGAAAAGACTACACAGACTTAATGGGTTACGCTTGTAACTCCATCCCCGATACTGAAAATAGACCTTTTGGTTGCCAAGAGTCACTCCAACCTGGGGAACTGCAGCAGAGCGTGGTGCCTGTGAGCACGTCAGAAGGCTCTTGTCAACGAACAAGTGTTAAAGGATCCTCCGAATCAGCTAGCTATCACACCACCAGCTCCCAAATTCAGCCTTTTTCAGGAACTGTCCCCAAATGCCTCAAAAAATGCCTGTCCTCCTCTCCAAAAGCAGAGTACCCTTAAGCTGTACAGCTGAGAACAAATTCCTTCAGGGTTGTAACAACCAATTAAGGGATGTGAAGCAATTACTTTTACACCCATACAAATGAAACTCCTCCAATGCAATTAACCATCCCTTATCATCTACTGTTGAATATGTGGAAAGCATATGCTGTACGTTCTCTCCTCCCCTAGCTTTTCCACAATTTCAATGTTTGTTTTAGTTCATGTAATGGAACCCACCTATTCCAGAGAAATAATATATGTCTGTGAATTATCTGAATATTTTTAAATGTCTTTTTTTCATTTTAAATATAATTTCATTTGAGATTTTGCAGCTTTCATTTCTATTAATAAATTATAATTTCTTCTTTATAAGTGATGAGCTAGTGTGTCATGCAATTTTTTCCTCTAAATAGACCAAGACTTTGATCTAATGCAAGCCCTTGCTGGGAATAGAGATACTTTCTGTCTAATTTCGTTTCAAAAAATATTCAATTAAACTTGGGAGTGTAATTCATTTAGTTATGAAAATTAAATGAGCTCAATAAGGTAAATTTGATTTGCCTCAGGAAAAAATAAAAGAAGAAGAATCTCTGAAAGGGGAACAAATAGGAAGGGAGAACAAAAGTAAATTTTACTGCTCACACTGAAAGGTGGATAACATGAAAAGTCTGAGTTCCATTTTGTGTGCCTAGATAAAACATATCCACAATGAGTTCACGCAAAATTTATATCCAGAAGCCACATGAATAACTGGGTATTACCACCCTAATTGTCTCCTGGGTAACAAAAATCCCTGTAGGTCATAATTGAGTCCATCCCAGTCGAGGGAAGATCTGACCCCTCACACTGGGAAGACACCACCCACATACAACTCTTCTCCATCTCTGTTTGGGGAGAAAGGAAAATACTGGAATTATTTTTCAAAACCAGAACAGAGCAATGTGGATCTCTCTGACAGAAGCCCCCTTCTAGTTTTGCAGCTGTCACTTACCATTTTTGCAGATTGGACAGCACTGATCAGGCTCATACACCGGGTCCACGCACTCTGTCTGGGGACAAGCAGAGACAGTGCACAGCACTTCACCGTTGGCTTCACAGCGACACTTCTCACACGGAGAAACCTGAAACACAAACCCAGGCACCTCTTAACTCTTTCACTTAATGCCCTCACAAAGTGTGCAATGCCTGCCTTCCCATCTGCATTGTTCCTTCCTTCACCTCTTTTTCCTTCCCCCTTTAAAAAAAAATGCTTTTTTGTGGTCTGAATAATGCAGAGAGTGAAGCTGTGCTCCTGCAAAATTACTGAACAGCAGCAGAAAAAGGAACCACAGGTTCTGCTCTGAACCCGTGCCTCAAATGGGGAAGTCAAAGGGACCTTGGGAACAAGAACACTTCAGGCTTTTCATACAAATAAAGCAAAAATTTCCCTACCACATTTCTCCCAACAAATGAAGTTCATAATTTGGATGAAATCTGGTTTAATTTTATGAGAGGTTCAAAAGCTATTTAGCAAAAAAAAATTGTACTTAAAGAAGAAGAATTTTGCTAAATGAAATATGAAACTTTTTAAATCGGAAATCCTTATTGCAATTTTTTGAGGTTTGAAAGCTTTTTGGTAGCAGGAAGTTGACTTTTATCGAAAATTATAATTTTCAAAGAGAAGTCAGGAAAAAAACATCCTTTGAATTCAGGTATTTCCCAGAGGTTGATTGTATTTGGACCACTCTTGTAATACTTGTAACTTTCTGAAAATAAACTGCAATTCTAAGAAAGGGGTGAAGCAAAGTACAGGTCATCTTTTTTACCTCCTGGAATGTTACTGGTTTTGAAGAACTCTACAGAATAGGAGTACCATGAGATAATTACTTGAACAACCTACTTCAGTGAAATCAATTCCAAACAAAACAGCATCAAGGCCCTGTTTAGGAAAAAAGAGACTTCAAATGTCTGCATTTGCCACATGGTACAATTCCAGCTGTCCTCTTCAGTGTTCCTGACCAAGTGCCGCACATTGCATCGCTGACGTCCTCCTGCCACACAAGGAGCTGCAGGTAGAGGGAAGCAAGACTGCTAAAGACCAATCAGTGGTACACTGTAAATCTCACTGCTGTACTCCAAAACACCACACTGGCATCCATGCTCAGAATGCAGGATGAAAATGCAGCTGAGTGTTATTATCAGTGATTGTCTAAATCCACAATCTGTGCAGATTCTAGGTTTACTTAAGGATAAGGTCATTTTTTATATAGACCCTTTTTCATTCCAGATTCCAGCTGATGCCAGACAACCACCCATCGCATTTCTCCAACAAAAGCGGAGTAACCTCAAATCTAAACCAAATTATTCTCTGTGACAAATCAGCCAGACACCTAAGTTGCAGATCATCTGGTTTCTTCTCCCTATTTCTTAGACAGCCCATCACATTTTTCCTCAAATCCATTCTCCCCTTGCTTGCCTCTTTCACATCCTTTTCACTTCCGAAGTTCAAACATGCTGATGCTTGCATAGCATCATCTCCAACTAAATGCTCATCCATGCTTCACCACTTCTCTTGCCACCTGCTGGGGCTGTTATTTCCTCATGCACTCATGTATCTTTTCAGGCCATCCCCTCTGCTTAGAAAGCGTAAACAGTGTCTCTTGCTGTGTTGCTTTCTGCTTTTATTACTATTATTTATTGCAGGTTTCCTTTGCCAGCTACTTACTTCCAGTTTTCTCTTTGCTTTACACTCCACCCAGGATAATACCACACCACACATTTATAAAATGCTATGAGGAGGCTGACAGCCCAGTACTGCAGATTTTAATTGTAGGCTTTCAGACAAGAACTTTGTCCTGTAATTGTTTATAAACTGCCACATTCACCTGCAGAGCTGGAGTGTCAGCAGATGAGGAGGTTTCCGATCCAATGTTCAGAGTCGAGAGGCTCAGGTATTCCAGGTAATCACTTAAACTGCATGTGAAATTTTGAGTGTCTGCAAACCTGAGCTCCTAACTATCTGCAAGTCAATAGTAAGAATCCTCCCCTCTGGAGTTACATCCAGAAACAATTACTAAGTCATGGAAACATGCTTTTTGGGGTGGATTGATTTTTTTTTCAATTAATCCTACTTGATGAATGCTACTAGAACTCCATTCCAAGGATCAGGCTCAACAAGGCAAACCTACAGTTTTCAATTGGTTTCAACATTTTTTGTCATCACTTGAAAAAGATGCACATTTGAACTGATCACAGTTCAACAAAACCAGTAACTACAGCAACAGACATTCCTTCTCCCAGGACCCCACTTAGCACCAGTCAATATTAGAAGTGATGTAAAAACGAGAGTATCTGATGACAATCAGGAAACAAGACAGCACACAGATGTTATTCCTAAAATCTCTCATCTGTAAAATGTAAGCATACTCTAATTAAGTAGGTTGTTTACTAGAATTCCAAATCTGACAGTAGCCTAAAATTCCTAGAACAAGAAGCCATTTAATGAAGCATTAGAAATACTATTGAATGAGGAAAAAAAAATTACCTAATCTTTATCTAATAATGATGATGCAGAATAATGCATTTCCAGCCTATACAGCACATACACTTGAAGACTACATCTTTCATGAATGGAGTACACTGTTAATGTGATACTGTAGTCATGAATACGCTTCCTGTGTAATAGATCACGGGATCTCAGAGGAATAACTACAGTACAACTTTAAGAAGTTCTGTCATCTGTACAACCCACCAATATGAGTAATGGCAGCAGAGTTAAGGAAGGTCTCCACGTGCTTATTTCTACAAAGCTATTTTCAGGCATGTAAGTGAACCACAGTGGCTGCTACAATGGTATTAGTGTCAACTTTTATCTGTTCATCTTTGGACTAAAGAGTAGTGTATTGCTTTTTTTATATATTGTCAGGATGTAGCAGGAACTGTAGAAAAACCCCCCACTTCTTTCTGCATCTTAATGGCAGCTTAATACTTGGAGACATCAACATCACTAGAGAGAGAGAGATAGGTAATAAGGCAGCACATATATACAACAACAGCTACATAAATCATAATGAAAAGACACATTTGGTCCTTCATTTCCTCTCCTATAATGTAACTGCACCACCTGCAGTACCGTTCCTAGTGGCAGCCAATGCAACGAGCATCCCGCTTGCTCATCTGGAAGCCACCAGCCCAGTACACTTAGCACATCTGATATAACCAGGCTGGACTGAAAATAATATGACCTATCAACCCCTCTTTGAAGACTAATGATACCACATCTCTGTGGTCTACAGATGAAGCTATAAACTCTACAGCAGCAGTAGTTCTGCCTATGCAAAAACTGTGGGAAGAGGAGAGGCACGTAAGTCTTAAGTATTCACCAGGCAGCCGTAAAACCTGTGGCAAAAAAAGTAACTTCTTTAGAATTGTTTAAAGTGAAGTTTATGAGCAGGTGTATAAATGGAGTTGCAGATGTTGTAAAAAAGCAAACACACCATTGTGTAAACAGGTAGATTTCCCACTAGCGGGGCATGAAGAAAACTGTAGCTTAGTAGGTTTCTCTAGCAACTTGGTGTAAATTGTCATAATTAAGAAGTGACAAATCATTTGCACTCATTGAAGTTCTAGTACAAAGTAATTTGAGCCTTCTCTTTCCCCCTTCCACATGCCAAACTTTAATTAAAAAAAAAAAAACAAAAACAAACCAACAAAAAATCTGAATACAAAAAATAATATATAATCTACATTTTGTTCCTTGAGCCTTGAAAACATCTAAATTTAAAAAAAAATCAACCATAATCCGAAACCGATTTGCTGTTGTGCTGGAATTTTTGTTAATATTTCCTTGACACTTACACAACTCAGGAGAACATGCATGGGGTCAGGCTGCCAAGAATAAACACATCAGCTTTGTTTTTACTTCTCTGTGCCTTCAAAATACCACAGATGTTTCAAAAATCCATTTTACTTTGTTGGCTTCCAGACTTCAAAGTTATTAACAAATAAATAAAAATTCTGGTAGCAGAGAAATTCTAAACAAAACACACAAAGGAATAACTTTCAAAAAATGTAGGTCTTTCCCAAACCATATTACACTTCTGAAGAGAATTTATGGTTCTTGTAAGGCTATTACTTTATAAGTCAGACTGCATTTTCCAATTTTACTGTAAGATTGAAAAATATCTAGTGGAGCACAGGTTCAGCAATCTCCAGCTCCAGTGCATAATTTTATCCTCATTGCATTTCACCAACTAAGGCTTCTACTACCAGTTCCACTCATATGGATGCTGGGATCCCTCTGCCATCCTGCCTCACAATACCCACAGGAAAGTAGCGTGGTGCTGATGGAAACAGCTTTATGAGACCTCATCCTTCCCCCACACCTGTGTTGTGTTTTGCATCAACATCCATGTCCTTTCTGAAAACAGAAAAACGTGTGTATACGCAGACACAAGCAAAGCCTGCAGGAAGGACTGTGAACCAAAGAAGAGATGCATCAAACCTCCCATTCCCTGGCACACTTAGCTTCCCAGGCCCTGGCTCTGGTCAGGGCAATTTTTTGCCATGCCAAGCCATATATGAATTCTATATAAGCAAACTCTCAAACTTGCATGCATATTTACACATCTATACATAGTGTTTGTGTGCAGATAACATCACTTACAAGTTAGGAGTTCACCTTTTTCTTCCTTCAGTGATGTCTGGTACTCTCACAAAGAGCAGGTGCAGACACAGAGAAAAATCAGATCACTATTCATTTATAACTCCTTCCCTGACCTTAATCAAGAGAGAGCATATTAGTAACCTCTCTAAGACCCTTAAATTTAAACTTGTAAAGTGGCCTTTGCAACCCTGTGCAATTACCTGCATTTGCAATTGCTTCCACTGAGCAGCAGCGACCCGACTACAGCTGTACCTTACCTCACCAGACATCTCCACTGATTGCAGCAGCATGGGCAAACACCTGCATTTACAGTTTTGTGCTCACAACATTGGAACCAACTTTGAAGCTCAACTGAAAAAACAAAGTCTTAACACATGAAAATAAACAGGCTGCAGCTCCACTGCCTAACTGCGTCGGTAACTTCCCCTGTGCATCCCAGGCAGGCAACCCTTCTCACTCCTGTTTCCAACGCTGGCTAACACAAAGCAGTAGAGGAGCTGATGTTTCATTACAGGAAGGTCTCAACACAAGGGCTAAAGGCTGAATGGGGTTAAAAAGAAAGCTGAAAACCAAAGTCTTTTCAGAACACTTCTGTAAATGTCACCGTTCAGCATTCCCTTTAGCCACGGCTGCCAGTCGTGCTCCAGGAGCACTATGTTTTTATCCTCTCACTGAAGACTTAACACAACAAGGCATTTTAGGCTTGCTTTACAGCCATTAATATGACACCACTATACAGAGAAATGCAACTCACTAGCAGAGCGTGGGGGAGAGGCCTTTAAAACTTTGATAGGGAAACCTGCAGAGAACATGTGCGGAAGCATCACTGTTTTGGCCACCCCTCAGAATGCACTTCTCTGCAAAGGAAGGATCTCACAATCCATCTCCAAAAAGGTCACAGGCAACTAGTCACTGTTACAAGTAACTTTCTTCCAGAAGAAAACTGCCACCCCAAAGCTGAATGCAGTCCTTGTGGGTGACATGGAAAAAGGGAGGATGATATGACGCTTTCTGCCATGCTTTGAAAAAAATCATCAATGATCTACACATGCGTGAACAGGACAAGGATAAACACCATGATACATTCTGCAGAGAGTAATTCTGCTCCTTTATTTATTAATTTATTTTTCAAGAAGTTGAAGAATGTGGAAAGACATTATAAATCAAGTTAAGTTTCCACTGAGATACCTCAGTTACCACAGAGAGCAGAGGTGTCAACTTATTGACAGATTTCACAAATACATTTTCTTTTTCTCCATCCTGAGATGGGGTCGAGCTGCCAGAACCCTGAACTAGATTTTGTACTCTCCTCAAAATATTCACCTCAAAAACATCTCTGGTGCGTTCAGAAATGGGTTTTGAACCAACCCTGTACCTAGCAAGCAAATTCTTAGAGCCTGCTCACAGATCTCAGCCACAATAAAATCCTAGAAGGAAAACAGCAAGTTAAGCAACCAGGGAATTGGCCCCAACTCCAAAACTTTTCAGTGCACTGTAATAAGTTGCATTTTAAATGATAATGACCCTGCACAGTGGTGCTAAAAATGCCCTATTCTAAAAGGATTTCCCTAAACATAAAGCTTTTCAAATCCATTGTTCAGGTATCACTGTAATTCAGACTGCAAACTATGCTCATACTAAAAACAAGGCCCACAGCCATTCTCAGAAAGCAAACACTACGCAACCTTGGCAGCACAGTTTAAACATCAAAAAAGGAAAACAGAAATGACTGTTAGGTAAAAGGCATCATCACAGACTGATTACTAGGAATAGAAGTCAGCCCACAAAACCCTGCTCAGTCCCTGCAAGGCAGAAGTTTCACAGTTAGCAGTTAAACAAGGAAACAAAGGTAATGCTGGGAATTTTCATCAGATCCACATCACCACCGACCAGCATCTTTTCAAGTAGCATTTTTTACTGTAAATACCAAAGGAATTAATAAAGATTAGCCCCCTCATTTTAAAATGTTACAGCATCACAGAGCAAGAAAGGTCACGTTTAAGGCAAATATTTCACAGCGCTGCAGAAGCAGTATCAACACAGGAAAGGGGAGGGGGAGACCCAGAAAGCACTTGAAGAACATAACGTCCCTCTAGATGACAGATGGACCCACAAAGTGACTTTAGGCTTCAGCCCTTACCATGAACTCCTCTAGGGTCTGGTAGGTTTTCCCTCGAAACTCGCAGTAGTTCTTCCTCTCCTTGCACTGCGGGCAGCACTGCGTGGTGTCCACATGGACACAGCGAGGGTGGAGCCGGGGGCACTCGGGCTGGATGCACAGCGGCCCCTCCTCGGTGCACAGGCAGGGGCAGGCAGAGGGGCCCGGAGCAAACTTTTCCCCGATGGCATAGACGAAGCCACTTTCATCCACGCAGCCTTTCCCCCTGTAGTCCGGATAGGCGTACTCCTCCGGAGGCTCGGGAGTGACACTCGTAACAGCTTCTGGGAGAGACGAATCTTCAGCTACCTGAGGTTCCTCGGGAGCAGCATCCCTTTGCTCTTGCACTTGAATGCTCCCGGATTTACTGCTCGTCCCCTGGCTGTTCCAAGCCTGCTTTTGCTTAGTCCAAGACTCCTTGTTCGAGTAGTTCCTGTTTCCCTTGCTCTTCCAGTCCCTGCTGCCCTCCTCCCTCCCACTCCTGCCGATCTCATTCATTTTCCCTGGGCCTGCCTGGCTGTCCCTTGTAGATGTGTGATCCCTCTTTTCATGGCTCGCTTTTATCTCCTGTTTGTCTTGAGCCTTGGCCAGTTTCTGTACAGGTATCGTGGAGCTACAGAGGGCAACCATGAGGCAGCAGGTTACGAGAAGAGAACTAGAGAGAGCTCCAATTGCCATTGCAGTAGAGCTGGGCATCACCTACTGCATCCCACAGGGGACACTGCATTCACATCGGAGGGAAGCGCTTCACAGGTCCACACTCCCTAGGAAGAGAAGGATTAGGAACACTTCAGCTTCTGCACTTCTCCCCTCCACCCCCCCAATGCCTCCACCGATGCAACATCGCAAACAACATGCAACCTGTCTCGGCAGTTTATGCAAAAGGCAAACAAACAGCCTGGTGCTGCATCCCTCCTCCTGCTCCCCGGCTCTGACAAGTCTTATAAATAGCAGGGCTCTGGACACGGACCGGGCGTCTTCAGCTCCTGAGAGCACCATGCAGAACTCCGGGGAGTTAGGATGTGCAAAGGCAGGTGCATGCAAAAAACAGAACATCTGGGGATTATTTTTCCTGTCAAATGACAACACATGAAGGGGATGGGCGCATCCTGAATTAAACAGAGCTCCCCAAAACACAGCAGAGTCGGAACAGAAATGAGCCAACTGAGTCCTATTCTACTGACCACACGCACGATGATTTTCATTAACCTCTTATTCAGTCTGAAGTGTGCTGTTGTTGGCTTGTTTTGCTTTTTTTTTTTTTTAATTACCTACCAGTGAGCACATTTCTGTTAAAGATAACTAAATCCAAGCACACTAAGGCGAGCACAGCCACACTCCCTCTCTTCCGAACTACCCAAACACGCACACACCACCTCTTTCGTCCCATGTTTAAAAGAAAAAGCCGAGCCGCTCGGAGTTTCCGCAGCCGCGGCTCATTTAATCTTCCAGGAGTCCGGCAGCACTCCCCGCTCCCTTCTCAACACACTGTACATTGAATCGAGAAAAAAAAAAAAAACAAACAACAACCCGGAATACGTACACTACTCCGGCCACGGTAAGCAAAGGCGCTCCAGCTCCCCGGCACGGCCCCACCTCCCCGCTATCGCTCCTCAAAGCCATTTAAAAGCCTCT